GGACACGAGAAGTGACCGCTGAGGTGCATGTCACTCCGGAGCACTGTTCACATGCAGCAGTTAGAGCTGCGGGCTTGGGCCTGTGAAGGTCTGGGGTGATTTGGTTCTTAAGATGGGCTTTTTAACAGCTTTGACATAGAGGCAGCGGTAAAAAACAAACAAACAAACAATGGGCTCACGTGGAAAAAACGAAACAAACTTCCTACGCAGCAAATTCACAGGGCTTTAGTTTTCTCGCAGTAGCAGAACCGTAAAAAGCCTTAACGTTCAGTTATAATTTCATGCTAAAGTGAGGCAGATTAAAACAGCGTTGACAGATTCAACCGTTTTGTTCCCATGAGTGGGTTATAGCAGTCAAGCAAAGGCAGAGACGAACAAAACAAAAAAAAAAAGGATATCCTGGATCAGTTTGGATATGGTTTCAAATATTTGACATGTTGGAATTGTTTTTAGCTTGACATCTTTTATCGATGTTCTGCTTTCATGGTTAGTTGTACGTCTTAATTTGAGGACATCCGAGTTCGTGCTTACTTTGCACATGATGAGTTCTTCTCCGTTTCTGTCTCGTCGTGAGTGTAGTATTTGATGACCCTTTGCAGTTATACAGCCAGTGCACGGTGATGTTTAATTGCAACTTAAATTTTATGCTTATTTAATGGCTGCTCCTCGCTATACGTTCCTTGTGTTTCATAATTAAATGAGATTATTGCCCTTATGCCCCGGACACACAGGTAATTATGGGTGGATTTTTTTTCTGGTTGTAGCTGTAAACAAGCCCCGCTTCATTAAAATTCATACCTTTATATTATTTTCGGGTTTTTGCATTCCTTAATAAATACTCTGAACTAGAGTTGCTTCGTTGGGTACGGCCTAAAGGTCTTGTTTGTATTCTCGAACCTTTGTGACTCTCTGAATGCTAAAAGGGTGCGTAGTGTACATTTTCTTTATGTGAATATTTCCAACTTAAAACACGGAATGACAAGCATTGGAATGTTTTCTGGAGCACAGTGAGGCTATGCAAAGAAGAGGCGTTTGCATAGCCAAACAATGAAACGGTTTTGTCCCTCTCACCCCTGTGAGGTGAGGCCTGCCATGCGGGACAGGGTGATGAAGACGTCACAACTCCCAGAGCTTTGTCGAAAGAATTGCGTGTAGACACTGGACCTCTGTGTGCTCCGTTGGATGAGCTTGGCCTTCCTTCGCCTCGCTGAAGAGAAAATGAATAATTTCTCGGCCCTACCACGTTTTCCACGGGAGTTTTAAGTGAGCGTTGCTGTAACCCCTCCTCAAACAACACCCTACCACCGCCGCCGGCGCTGCCTCAGTCCCCCGAAACGCGCACACAAGGAGAGGAAGGCCAGAACAGCCGGGGCAAGCAGAGCTGAAACACATCGCCGAGGGTCTTGCCAACCTGCAGCCTGCTTGAGCTGGAGCGAGCCTCTCAGCCCCACACCCGCGCGGCACTGGTGCACAAGTCAGGAGCGCAGCTTGACAGCGGTGCTGCGCAGGGAGGAAACGTGAAATGGAGATGATCCCCGGTGTGTGGCGTTCGGCCATATGACACCGCATGAAACATCAGCGCTGCACATGGGACTACGATATAAAGAACGCTGTTTGAAGTGGAAATGTGAACGGGTCTTGGTTTTTGGCTGTTTTATTTGGACAGACCAGGGTGGGCGCTGCTGAAATGATTTCTGCTATGCTGTTGAGCCGCCAGAATCGGTGGCCAGAATCCGTTGCAGCAAGTGCTGGAGCAGCTCGTGCCTTGTGCTTGGTTAGATTGTTGTGTGACCGGCAGCTATCGCTTTCATATTGACCTCAGTAATTAACAGCACTCTGGTGTTTCATTTGCTGTGGGCAGTTTAACTTCTGACCGTTTCTCTGTGGTCGTAACGGGATTGTTTGTTTGTTTTGCTGAATTGTTCTTCGAGGTGGCTGCTGGTGGTTCAGTATTCACTGCCGTTCCGTGTAGGCTTAAGCGAGGAGGATGTGTTCTGCTTTCTGCACTTTCTGCCTTTTCCTTCACGGGTTCATGGAGTCGGATGAAGTTTTGTGACTGTTCCTCTGCTTTTTTTCCTGTCACTCGATTTGCCTCCTCCCTCGCTTTCAGTTGCACAATCTCTCCCTTTCCCTTTTTGCTTCTCCCATTCTCTACATTTTCTT